CCCCAAAACCCCAAAACCCCAAAACCCCAAAACCCCTATTATTATAAAATTATTTGAAAATGTTTGATGATAACATAATTTGCCAACTTGATAATTACTATTCACAACAAAAGCACAAAGAGACTCTTGAGAAGATTAAGAATCGTAAAGTAGTGCAGAACTTGGCTTCAATTAAGCACTCAAATCCGTCGTTTAAGAAAAAACAAATGATGAAGCAGATAAAATAAGGAGAATGACATTTTGTTAGGAAAGTTAATCTCCATTTCGAAGCCAAAAAATAATAAAAATGCTGGTTCTAAGAAGTCTGGTGCTCCTAAGGCTTCTCAGAATCTCTCGTTGCCTAGTACAAACTCACGAACTCTTATCACCAGTCATCTAACTGAAATTTCTACAATAAACCCATCTATCAAAACAGAGAATGCACAGATAATGAAGCGAATTATGAGCCAGAAGAGCACATTGTCTACTAAATAAATTTGAGCAGGACTATAAGCATCAGAAAGAACTGGTGCATCGTTTGATGAAGAACAGCAAGTCAAGTATGTCCCTACTAACACCTCTCCCTTCCACATTTCCTCCAAATCTCATCTATTCTCTTTCAGACTTAAACCTTCTCTCACTCCTTCTCTCCCATCTTCTCTTCTGGACTAAAACTCTAGATCCAAGTCTAACTCTGACATTTATAGCTGTAATGACTACATTAATAAAAATGAAGAGTAAAATTAAGGAGAAGGTTGGCCAGAACTTACCTCCTATAGTAGGTGACAGGTTTTAAGGGGAAGAAGGGCATGGGTGTTGTGTTGAGAGCGGTGTTTTAGGAGCCTAGGGTGTGTGTTAGGTAGAATTATGTATTAATGGTAAAAGTATAGGAGAGAGGAGCAGGAAGAGCAGAAGAAGAAGTTAGGGGATAATGGTATTGGAGATAGAGGTCCGTGGGTTTTTGGAGAGCTAAATTTTGATTAGAATGAGTTGAGTTTAGGAAGATTAAATCAAGTTTTAATTAAATTTTTAATAGCTTTAATTAGGAATAAAATTTTTAATGAATTCATAACATTTTATCTTCTAGATATCAAAAAGTCAACTGAGAGAAAACAAAATCTGAAAAATAATAAAGCAAGCAAAATGTTCTACAAAGAGCCGTCGAAGAAAAAGCAGCCTCTGGGAAGAGAACTCAATAATTTCAACTTTGAAAAAGTCACAAGTGAAGGAAATACAAAATCCTCTCGCAAGAATCTAAAGTCAACAGGTAGCCGTAAGTTTAGAGAAGAGAGTAAAACATCCATGGAAGAAAACATCAAGTCTAGAAGTTCGAAAAAGTCTCAATTAATGATATCTCCTCAAAGTAAGCCCTTAGTTTGACATTTAGATTCTCAAAAATCAAAGAAAATCCCCCATAATGCGTCTCCACCAAAAGTTAATGAAAGCCTGCAAGATTCTGAAATACAAAGTGGATATGATGAGTTTGATGAAGACTTTGAAGGCCATGATAAGCAAAGTAGTCAAAGTAAAACAAAATCGAAGAAAATAGCTGATGATCGTTCTGATCCTTTGAATATTTCAATAGATGAAGAAATTCTTTCAGATTATGATGATGATTTCGAGTAATAAAATGAGATCAATTTTGTTAAAAATAATTGGGGTTTTGGGGTTTTGGGGTTTTGGGGTTTTGGGG